GCTAACAATTGTAAATGTCGATGCAATTTGAATTTCTTGAAAAAATAATAAAGAAAAAAAAAGTCAAAAAAACAAAATTGTGGGAAGTGTTTTACACAATTTAAATTATTATTTTTGTAATAATAAATAGAATAATTAAAGTAATCTTAAATGTAATAAGCTTTTCAAATAATTATCTGAAGAAAAAAAATAATCTATTCAAATATTTTTTTATAAAGAACACAATTATTTTAATAATTATGTGTATGATTAAAACTAATTTTCAACATTATATAAATAAAAAATAAAAAATAAACTTAAAATATTGATTCTAACCTATAATTTACTTTTACATTTACTTTTGGTGTATTTCTTGTATAAATGAATATCTATTAATGTTATATTTTCTAATCAATTCAAAACTAATGATCACTTCTCTATATCTTTAATTTTCTAACAAATAAAAATTTCACATTTTAAATTTTCTAATAAATTATTTTTTAAAAGAATTAATTTTTAAGTAATAATTTTTAAAATTATAACATTTAAAAAAGTTATTTTTTTTATATAATTAGCTTTCTAAATTTTCAATATATTTATTTTTCTAAAATATCATTCCTCACTATAATTACCTTTCTAAACTTTTATTTTTAAAAATATATATTTTCTACAATTTTATTTAAAATACTTACTTTTGAAAATATTTATTTTTCAGAGTAATATTTTTTAATATAAAAAATTTCCCTTCATTTTTAAATAAAAAATATCAAAAATCCAAATCAAAATTCGATTTTCTAATAATTGAATTCTTGTTGGTATTCTAACCAAATTAATCAAATCACTTATAGAATATGATATCTAGTAAAATTAGTGTCGTCAAAATGAGTTGAAACCCATGAGCCAATCCGACTCACCATGTGTTTGAACCGGGTTGGGATAGAAAAAAATGCAAAAATTTTGATGCGAGCCAATTTTGACCCGACTCACTAAGAATCCACACAGGTTGAACCCGTGGTGGGTCGGGTTGGCTCACTACCTATTTTTTTTAATTAAATTAATTATTCAAATTCTATTTTTTTATTGAAATCAAATTAATTAAATTAATTATTTAAAATGCACAACCTTTACTTAGCAATATAGCCTTTCGCACTGCTGTCTTTTCAAAAGTTGCCTTCTGGAAATAAAATCCTAAGATTATAAATTGGATAATATTATAGATAAAGAAGAAGATACTTCAAGATAGCATAACATAGCATAACACTGTGAATTTATCCACTTAGGACTCCAATTTAATAGATCGATAATTCAGGAATATATCATTTGTTTTATCTTGTTTTTAGACCTATCTACAAGCATGACCGTTTTATCCTATGCTATATATTTTTGTTAATGGCTATATGTAGTTTTTTGGTCAAACGGTTGTGTATGTCTCATTAAACTAAATTGGCAAAATTTTATGCTTGATAGCTTATAATATATATAACAATATATTTCTTTTATATCAATTGGTCCAATTATTACTGTTTCAATTTGATCGATCAAAGTAACATGTTATAAGAATATGAGAAGAAGAGAGTGAAAAAAAAGTTAATTAAGTGAGCCAATGAGCCAACCCATTTAACCTACCAACCCGTGGTGGGTCAGGTCGGGTTCAAATAATTTTGACTCGCTAATAAATGACGTGGTGGGTCGGGTCGGATTTTCCGTTTTGACAGGTCTAAGTAAAATATCCTATTTAATTAATTATTTGACAAAGTTTGCTATTTGAGGTAAAATAAGATTAATTTGTGCTGTTTCAAATAAAATTTTAAATTATATTGATATTTGAATTAAAAATAAACTGATAATTATTAAATAGTATTTGGTATTAAACTAAAATTTTACATTGGTGGTAGTTTGAATATTTCATCGAAATAAAAGATAAAACAAACTAAATTTGAATTGTTTTACTAAACGAGTTTAATTATAAATAGAAACTTAATAAAGAAAATGAGCATAGTTTGAGTTTGAGGGAGAAGGATTACGAGTGGCTCTGGTAGTGGTGGCTGCAAAATGAGGTTGATAATGGTTAGTGGAGGTGGAAGCATTAATGGAAGGAGAGAAAAAGCAGAAGCAAGAAGAACAGACGAAGATGTGTGATATTTGGCGGCCTTATCTTTTTCACACCGAAACACGTGACGACATTCCAACATGATTTGACAAGGTTCACCATTAAGCAAAATCCGGTCAGAAAATTTGAAGGAGTTAAATTTTTATGGAAGGTTGAGCATTACCATCAGAGGTTGGTTTTGACCGATGATTTATTGCACATGGTGTGAGATAATAGGTGGTATAGTGGGATAAGATTTTTCGTAGGCTGGGCCCATGGTGAGATTATGATGCAGGATGAGTAGCTAAGCTAATACAGAACCGGCAAAGGTATTGTTGACAGAGAGTGTTGAGTTAGAGGACTGAACCATAATAGGACCAGCATAGTTCTGATCAGACCTAATATAGCAATACCAGGTGTGGCCAAATTTTAACAAACATGGCATTATGATTCCTGTCCTTGTGAGATTTACCATTATTTTTCTGTCATTAAATCTGCTCCATCTGCCATGAACTTGGTGATCTATCCATCAGTTTGAGGGATCCCCTATAACTAAGTCCCCTGTGTCTTTTTCAAGTTCCAGTGATAATGAGTTAGAAGCCCTAAATGAAGGTGATTTGTTGATGATAAGGCGAACGTTGGTTCAAGTTCAAAAGGAATTTGATAACACAGCGAAAAAATATTTTTCACACTCCCTGTCTTACAACAACCAATCTTGTTGATTAATAAGTTATAAGAGTAGTAGTGCTAATGTGGCTAACACAAGAGTAGTGCAAAAACTTAAATTATCTACCATCTTTCGTGCAAAGTCCTATAAATTACAATGGTTAAGTAACGAAGGTAACATTGTAGTAAATAAGTAAGTCCTCGCAACCTTTGCCATTGAAAAATATAAGGATAAAGTCTAATGTGATGTTGTGTCAATGAAAGCTACATATCTATTATTAGGAAAACCATGACAATATGATTGTAAGATTATCTATGATGACTTTTTCAGCAAAATTTCATTTGACTTCTAAGGACACAAGATTACTCTCAAATCTTTGACTCCACAAGATATTAATACGATCGACTAAAAATTGAAACAAAAAAGAATAAAAGCAAGAGAAAAATAACTTGTCATATAATAAATGTTTGTTGGTACAAAGACAACCTTGTCTCCCACACAATAAAATCTTCTTTGGTACCCAACACGCACCAAGTGCCATACACGAGGCCGTTGTGTGTCGAGGCCAGGGTTTTAAGATGTTTCAGAAGTTTCCACCTTTACATATGTTAACTTTTACATGAATTCATTGGGTGGCACACCATGGTAAGCACTATAAACCTTTCTTTATATTCTTGCAAAGTTTTTGAGCATAAGGACTTTGTTAAACTAATTTGGCATCACAAAACACAATCCTTTATGCCAAATACAAACTTTAAGTGACAAAGCCTTAAATTTAAATTCTTTGCCAATGAAACGTGTGAACAACATTGTTTTATCGTCTCTTCCTTTATGGGTTAGTGCACTTCTTAAAACCTTCATCATAAAGAGGACCCCAACACCTTCTCTTTGATGATCACTTATGTACAATACCATCCTCATTTTCGACTAAAAAACAATACACATTTCGTTATGATCCCGAAATAATGATTTTCTTTCTTTTTGTAGGTCTTTCTGAATTCATGGGCGAATTCTCTCCAACTCGGGGAACATGATGCGAACCTAATCAGCCCAAAGATTACATGGAATAAAGGGAGTATCATTAAGCATTATTAGAGGTTGCAAATAAAAAGAAGTAAAAAAGTGGCAACCAACGCTTTTGTGTGAGCATCCAACGACAGACCCCCAATACCCAGAACTTGTGTCTAGCGGGAACATATAAGTGAGTTCAAGCCTTTTCAAACTGTCATTGATAACTTGGACAACAAGCTACTCCAACTAGTCGCATTTTTAACATGGAGCACATGTTCTATTATAAACACATAATTAGAAAGTTAAAATTAGATTAGTTAATCTTAATACAACTACACTTCACCTATAAATAAAGTGCATCTTTCATTATAAACAAACAAATTTGGTTTTGAATTTTAAAAGACCAAATGTCTCCATTGTGAGTCTTATCTTGGAGGTAAACTCAAGAGGCGACTCTTTGCTTCCACTCATCTTGAATCATCCTAATCCAAATGACGTGGATTCCAGCACTCCAGCACCTCATTTCATTCGTTGTACCAACTTCCGCGTTCATTCCATCGTCCAAAAGTTCTACATCCAAGTAAGTCTTCTTGATTCTTTTTCTTTTATGTCTTGTTTGCAGTCAATTCGATTATTCTGTTCATAGCCAATTGCTTATGTGATAATCAAATAAAAAACAAAATTCAATTCATGGATGTGTGTGTATTGAGTGTTCCTGTGTTGGATCTGAATTCTGTTCAGATTAATCTATGTTTAGTTCACACAATGCCATGATTTTTCTTCATCTATTAATTCAAAACATACTCGAAGCATCCATTTCTAGAAATTGAAATTTAAGTATGAATATGATAATTAATTCATATAAACCATCCTTCTGAAAAATTTCTAATACAATCTCTTCTTCCTTCTCTAAAACTTTTCTTTCTCCTTATCAGGTTCTGCTTTGCTGTGGTATTTGGCGGACTCATAATATTTCTGTTTTGTTGTAATTTTCTACAATTACAAAGATCTGTTTTTTTTTTGGCTTGTTTCGAATTCCAGAAACATTACTCTTTTTCTTATAAAAATTATAAATACAAAAAAATACCGTTACAGAGCAACCCTGCTCTTCGCCAGGGGCAATTACTTTTTACCCAAACTAAAAACAGTAGAAGTAGGAGATGCCCTCTCAACCATACAAAACTCTGGCTCTCTATTACCACCCTTCGGATCTCCATCTTTCGCTCCTAGTAACAATGAAACAATAGCTTAAGCTTGCTAGTAACAAGATCCTCTTATTCGAATAACTATTCGTGGAATGCCAACTAGATTGCAAAATTTCATTTATACCTCGTTTGGCCGTTACATTTGCAAATCTGAGCAGGTGTAATTTCCATTGCCAACTAGAATCTCTTCCTCTGGATTAAAAGAATAAAAGTATTTAATGTTATTTCGTGTGCCTAACTAATAACTATAATTGATGCCCCCATACAAGTCATTAATTTCTTGAACAAATGATATTAAAATTTTTGTATACTATTTTACATGAAATCTACTAGTACCAATAAACCAATGAAGTTTTTTTGCTGAATGGAAGGGGGAATCGGCCAATGAAGTGAACCTGATCTTGTCAACACACATTATCCCCCGCGGAATCCCGAATTATTGGTTGTTGGTGACGTTAAATTTCCAACAGCGTCATTTCGTGTTAGTGGAATAAAAAGACAATGTCCCTGCAACGGTGGGAGCCTGCCGTTGCTTCATTTACAAAACACCCTGTTCAAAATAATAGATTATGGTGAAATAAAAAACTAGAGAGAACTAATAATGCTTACCAGTTAAGCATCTTCAAGGCCTGATACTATGCATACATTAGGCTAAGCACAAAATTTGCACATCTGTGCAATGATGATACATCAAACCACAACGGGTAGTTATACCAGTCCCAAGCATAACAGCCATTACAGTATGGAGGTATAGTTTTACAATCCTTCATCCGTGATGACACCATTGGAGGTATTGTCAATCCTCTGCTTGGCAGAAATCACCCTATCCAAAGTCTGATCCGAGACCAAGATCCCTGTGGTTTCCAAATCTGCAACTACAGCAACAGCTGCATCTAGTTCCCCGAGATCAATGCAGAGAGAGATTATCTCATCATAAAGAGAACTGTAACATGGGGGAAAATGAAGAAACAATAAGATGAAAAGCAACAGACATGGGATGGCAGAAAACCAAAGGTTGCCTTCATTTTGCAGTTATCATAGTGAATAAAATTCTGCAATATCTAATCCAACCCCACAGTTATTCATTATTTCCTCAGAAATATCGGGTTAACTTTCTTTTCCTCCTGGTCGAGCATATAAAATATCTAGATTTTTATTGGCTGGGTTGGGTAACCCACAGAAGAACACGGGTCTTGTTTTACAAAGAAAATAAATTACCTCCCAAACTTATAACCAAGTCCATGAGTTGTTTGCAAAATTGTTAAGAAAGCTGAGGGTAGAGGCGCCCTTATAGCTGCACGCAAGATTATGGCACAATCCCCGATAGTTGGTGTCCCTCCCAATTCTATGACCTGTACAATATAGGTCAAAATCTCATTCAGCAAAGACAAGCATATACCAAAGAATGTTGATAGGTTAAATATATCCAAAAGACTAAAGTAGTATTGCCAGTTACTAATAAAAATTATTCAGTGTTAACTCCTAAATCAAGTGGGAAATTCTAACTTCAAACAAGTAGTGGAAATCTCAGCGTTATTTACAGAGATAATGAATATATCTCTACTACGTTCTAACTAATATATATGCCAAATTTTAAAATTGAATGAATTATTACACAATACCTGGACAGGAATCAACAAGCAGAAAGGTAGACAACTAGGCACCAATGTTCTTTTTTTTAATTCTTCTATACGAAACAAATATAAATATCACCATTCAGAGTAATAATAAAATTGTTTTCGACACACCAAGAATGTTTAATATCCCATTGAAGGAACTAAATCAACAGCATTCGCAAACTAGCGTAACTGATCCATGCATCACCATGAAAGTTGAACCAAGTAAAAAATAACACGTGTCACCAAAATGCTGCCAGCCAGCATGTTCCAGTAAACTATTTTTAGAACTGATAACCTGAAAACATAAAGCTCAAGAGTATCCCTTACATTTAAGAAATAAAAAATGTAAAGGGATATCCTAGATATGCTAGTATTAATTGCATAAATGTTAGGGTTGCTGCAATGAATCTTTCTCACAAATATTTCATTGAAATTCCCTTAGTTATACGATTTTAGCCCTCACGTAATTAAATGTATAAACTCAGAAGTTGGAACTAAAACAATTTACAGATTAAGCAACTTCACCCAAATTCCCAAACCGTTGAACCTTAAGGTGAATGACCTTCGCAAGTAGAAAGAAGAGAAGATGATAAAATCGGGTAACAATATCCCTCAAACACGTCAATCATGAACACAAGAAAATTAAGACAGCCAAAATCAAGATACAAAATTTAATGTCATCATCCTACATCATTTTGGATCTTAATTTACTTTTATGTGCAGTGTTATAGAGTACAGTTTTTATTTTGTACATTTGAAGAAGCAGTAATCATATTCCATGTCTGCAAGAAACTGAGAATTTAACCAGTTAAAACCATTTCAACAAGAAACAAGTTTGTAGTTAAAAAGTCAAGCTTTAGTTATTTACCTTCTGCATAACTTTGATTGCCAACTCAACTTCCCATTCCTGTGACCATCTACGAGGAGGTTTGTTCTTCAGTTCTCTCTCCCATGTCCATCCCCAAGCATCTGCTAATGTGTACATGTCTGACACATCAAAAATTTTTCGCTTCCTCATTTCCTTAAATGCCTCAAATACGTCCAGTGGAAACCAATCATCATCATCATCATCCTGCCAGCAAACAAGTTAGATTCAGAATGTCAAAACTGTAACAGAGATTGAAAGAATGTAATGTTAACAGAGAATGGATGGTCCATAAATGGCTCTCAGCTTCTCATGAATCATTCTCACCCAAAACCTCAGGCTGCAATATCAGTTTTATCATGTTGGTTTTTACATCCTAACATTTTGGGATCTTCTGTACACAAAACCTGCCCTACTGTCTAAACAAGTAGAAGAACCCAACTCTCTCCATCCAAACTTACAAAGGAAAAGAATACCAAAGAATTATTATCGTACCGCTGCCTGCAATCTGGATTTTCTAAACTTTTTAGATCTAGTGACAGGTTGATCAGAATCTTTAAACAACTGGACTCCAATCATTTGAAGAGGCTTCTTAGCTTCAACTTCCTTGACTTTTATCCTGTCTACGTCTTGGTTCTCTGCTGGTTCTACTTCCTCTTCTACTTGTTCTGCTTCCTCCTCCTCCTCGTCGACTTCATCATCTTCAACATCTTTAGCAGCATCTTCTATTGCATCAATGTCATCTGCTACTTCAGAGACGTCTGATTTACCTGCATCCACTGTCATTTCTTGATCAACAGTTAAGCCTTCACCTAAAAAGCGACGTCTCCAGAACTCTGTATTTCCTTCCTGTAGCTGTATACGCGAAATCAATGCATCCAGCTCTTCATCCACCTAGAACATGAATCATATTTAAGTTTAGCATTATATATTACAGGTCAGATGGAGAAAAAAGAAAAAGATACTTAAACAAAACAAAAGAAGAACCAACCTCTTCTTCCTCCTCTTCCACTGGAGGAATCCAAAGGGGCCTACCACGAGATCGATTTATTCTCCTTGCTTTCTGTACCCGTTGGTAAAGAATATTTCTAGTTCCATCAGTAGGCAAGTCTTGTGCTTCTAGTTCTTCCTTCAATTCAGACACAAGCATTTTACTAGCAGCCTTAGGCTTTAAAGAATTCTGTTCAGGCCCCTTTATGAGTTTCTTTAGTCTTTCCTTCACTCTAATATAATCATATTCAGATACACCATCCCCTAAAACTGCAAGTCCTTCAATCTGCAAGGTCTTCAGGAGCTTTTTATTGTAATCCCTCAAGTCCTCCAGGCATCTTTGTTTGAAGGAGGTCTCCATTGGGTTTGAATATATAAATCCTTGAGCATCAGGATCTAGAGGTGTTTTACCTCTTCGAGGTACCCACCGCTTGCGCTCGCCAGTTAGGCCACCCTCCTCAATATATCTGTCCAATTAACAATAAACACATTAACAATAAACACATTGATAAGCATTACTTAATTGAGCCCATTAACTGAGATTTACTATATCAGTGAAAGAGAACGCCTGCATTTAAAAAATAAAGAAAAGCAAAAGCAAAATGTTAGAAGCTTTTTGTAGAAAACTTAAAAGAGATTCTTAGGACCACTACTTAGATTTTGATTTTCCTATTTCGCCGACTGGTAGTTTTAGAATATTAAAGTTACCTCTGTTAGGAAAAATAAGCTGGACACAAACACGAGCCTTAGAAAAAACAATTTACTATCAAGAGGTAAAATATCATACATTTGGTATGCACAATATTATTGGACAGCAGAAAAACAATTAGAATGAAAACCCAATCGAAATAAACTAAATAAATAAAAGAAAAGTGAAATCATAATAATAGTTTCAATTTGGGTTTCAGCTCACTTGCTGAGAACAGATAAGAATCATTTATGAAAACATGTATAAAATAAATAACTTAGATCAAAATAATAATAATAATAATAATAATAATAATAATAATAATAGCAACTGTTGTTGAAAAGGAAACAATACCTAGCAATATAATCAATCTCATATCCAAGTTCAGCCTCTTCTTGTAATGGTTCAATCCATGAGCTTACTAATGTCCGGTATTTTCTGCTCAAGATCATTGCTCGTGAAGGGATTGGCTGGTTATCTTTGGCCATAACTTCTAAAGCTTCAAGCATTTCAACAATTCTTCCTGAATTTCAAAATGACAACTAGGTTGAAGCCAAGCATTCTCAATAATTTTGGTCATAAAATTTTATAAATATACATTGAACACCACAAAGGAGCAAATCCCTGATGACTATCTTTAGTTACAATGTCTCAACAAGGGTAACAAAATATAAAAAAAAAAAAAATAACTTTTTAGGAAATAAGTATGTGCTCTGGAACCAGATATTCTACATATAATGGCAAGGCAGATGGATTCCCATCGGATACTCCCCCTGAAAATTCTTCTTTGAGCTGAAATTTAGGCACAACTTTAAAATAAATGCCTCATTATCTCCATCCATTTCATACAACAGATGAGATGATACTCTTTTGGGCACAACTACTTTAGGTTAAGGACTTGGTGCCCTCCCTAATCCAACAATGGAAAAACTCGAGTTAAAAAAATATTAATGGGAGAAGTGATAGGAGCACACTCTCTAATACACTCTCTCGGACACTCACTCTTAATAGCAAAACTTTATTGGAAAATACAAAAATCAAGAGAGGGAATCATTAAAGTTCCACACTGTTTGTGATTTCCTATAATATTCAACCCATGAGAGTAAGTATATTAAAAAAAGTGTGTTAAAGAGTACGTTCCTAATATCTCTCTACTTATGGAAAACTTACCTTACTTTGCAGAAGGAGATAAGGGAAAGTTCAAACTTGTGACACAACAAATGCGAACCCTTAAGGTTAATTGAATAAAATTGTAGATTATTTATTAATCGAGACAACATCTCTTAGAATGAGAAAACAACAAATACATAGCCAGTAGAATTATACCTTCCCGACATAACGCTCGAAGGTACAAAGAAAGTGGATCTCCATGATTCCCTTCATCATGTAGAACTTTTGTACCCCCTTCAAAGTTTTTAAGGGCACGAAAATGCCTAATAGCTTCTCGTACCACACAGTACTTCGTAAAACACTCCACTAACAGGCTGAAGAGACAATATGGGACAAAACAGATCAAGAGAACATTCCACAGTCCTATATGACAAAATCAAACACTACATTATATTTAAACAAACACAGCTGAATGAGTACATAGCTATAAGATCCCCAAAAATTACAGGTCATTACTCAGTTTACCTGATAATCAAAGTATCTTTCAGAAATAGAAGGAAAACTTGAAATTAAAGAATAGCATATAAGTAATAAAAGAGTTAACATTTAGTTGAGTGGAGGCTATTTATAACATGTTTGTATTTCCGTTGAAATGATCCCGAACCAATGTTCATATTACAGCTACAGTTTTTTGTTTCATGGTAAAAATGAGCGTTGGAACATGAATCAATGGAGGATAACATGTATCCATACATGCTATTAGCTGCTGGTGCAAAGTAAACTGTCTAGTAAGCAGTATCAATAAAATCTACATATTAAAACAGGACTCCGAGGCTTCTGAATTATACTCCTGGTTTGTTGTGATTTAGTATTAGATTAGTAGTGTGCAGTTGTTGTTTGTTGTGCTTCCTTGGTGAATTTAATTAGAGAGTAATGCCCATGTTTCCAAGGGGACTTTTATCTAGCCCATAAGATTGTTATGCTATAGGTTCATGTTTATATTTTCTTTGAAATCTATTGCTTTGTCACAGAATTTGCTGCAACTTCTGTTTATTATATATAACAGTACCATTTTAAAAAAATAAAAGTCTAAATTTTATACTAACGAATTCAAATAATATAACATTGAACATGTAAAATGGTCAGGTTTGTAAAAGAAAAATAATAATGTGTCGTACGCATGGGTCTTCACATTTGGCTGTATACGCTTGTGAGCTTCAACCATCATGCCGAGTAACTCAGCAACATCTTGTACTCTATAAGCCACACAGAAACAAGTTTAATATGATCCATCACATAAGAACAACTATAACTTAATGCATGAAATATTAAATTTAAGAATTCTAATGTGAGATTTCACAGCCATTTAAATCATCTAACCTGTCATAAGATTCAGCTCTAGTATATGCTTGAATAACCCAATTATATGTATCTGTATCGGGCTTCATATAATCTGATATGCCACAAATTAAAAATAATTCACAGTACATAGAATTAATAATGAAGAAACGGATTTTAACAAATTAGAAGAAAAGACCATCTCAACTTGAACAGCACAAACAAAGAAACAAAAAAAGAACGGAAAAGAATAAAATACATGAGAAATGAAAATTAATTGTGAAACAAGTTACAGTATAAGAAATAGAAACAAACTTCCCTTGAAATGGTAAATGAAATATTTATAAGTAAACAACTATAAGCATCAGAAAAAGAAGAGGGAGGGAAAGAAAACGTGGAGTGCACACCTTCTCCATATTCCATGTTCTCAAACGTTGCAAAAGCTATTTCAGGTATTCCGCAGGTAGCCTTATAATTTTGAAAGAAATAATATTAATAAAACATAGTGAAAACATCAGAAGATCAAACAGGCTCACATTTTGCTGTATCAAAGCCAATTGTTATTTGAAAATTTACAAAAAAATAAAAAATAAAAAATTGGCATTGTTTGTCTAAAACATCTACAACTTCAGTGTCATTGTGTCATATTTCATATCAGTTACCTTTACATATTTTCTACTCAAAGAGAATGGAAAAACACGTGGCAAGGATTTTATAGCTATTTTTAGTAGGTAATTTATTCATATAATAATATAGGTTTAGTTACATTTTTTTGTCCTGATGTATTGTAATTGTGCAATTGTAGTTGTTTAAGTTCTAATAGTGTCAATCTGCCATGTATAAAAAATATGCAATGTCAGTCCTGCAATCCGAGAGACTCAATTGATACAATTAAACTCTGGAGAGACTAAAATAGCTCCATTGATCAACATAGTTGGAATCTGAAGAACTAAAATGGCACAATTGCAATACTTGGAGGATCAAAACTGCAATTAAGCTAATTATGTATGTATCAATGCCACGGGATGGGAGTCCCTTAATTTACACCAATAATCAGTTTCATGCACAGATAAAATTTAAGGAACGAGCTATAAAAGTAAGATCTTTTTAAAAAAGGAAAATACGGACCCCTAAATCACCCATATTTTTAAGGAGTACAAAACCAACCACTAATATTCCTAAAGATCAAATTGATCTTGCTTTCACTATTTCCCTAGCAAATTCTTGGAAGCAGGACACAGTGTAATATCACAATTATAACCAAAAGACTGATGCTATCCACCTACAAATTCTCCTCCTATCTCAAAAAGAAAGTACTAGATATAAAAAGTAAACGAGTTTAACAGTCTTAGAAAAATATTAAATGTATTTAGTACTCTTAACATACAAGGGAAGTAGGAGGATCTAAAGTTATGCTAACTGAAAGCATATAATCTAGTAATGAAAACCAAAGACAATCCAAAAGTCACAATAAATGTTTCCACCCCTATTTTTTTGGCAACATGAAACTGACCCCTAGACTATAACTGTACAAAACATTCTGAGATAAAACTAGACTGAGGAAGGTAACCTGCACACTGAGGAGGCAATTGAAATGAAATGTGGTTGCCATCCTTCCTGCTGCCTCCATCTCATAGGCAATGTCTAGCGCATTAGAATGGTCCCCAGCTTTGCAGTCTTCTTGGATCAGTAGATCATAAACCTCATCAGTAGCCTTGAGGCCAATATCGGCACCCTTGAAGAACACTTCGTTGGCACCTTCCAAATGCTTGCTCCGAACAAGCTCATCTATACAACACCAGAATTAAAGCACACCAAAAAGGAGAGGCCAAAACAAATTAACAATAAGTAATCAACAACATGAGAAGAAGATAAACAGAATTATGGTATTCTTTTAGTTCTGTTTGGACGAGCTTCTCTACGAAGACTTGAGAAAGAAAATACGAATAAAAACGAAATTATAAGCTAAAATTAGCTATTGCACAAGTTAAAAATGAAAATTTAGAGAAGTTTTTTTGAGAGAACTTCTACATATTAGCTTATGGAATGACTAATATCAATTTTTCTTCTTAAATTTCTCTTTTAAAAGTTTTTATGAAGAAACTCGTCCATACAGGCCCTCAAGCTAAAATAAACTTCGACACTTAGCTTTTATAGAAACTAGCTTCTACAAAAGTTCAAGTGCATAAGTTGATTTTAGTTTACTAATAAAGCACAATTCACTTTATCCTCGCACCTCTTTCTCCTATACGTTTTAAGAGCAGAGAAGTTTATTCAATTAGTCAAAATGAATATACCAATAAGAACAATCCAAGCTTGGCGAATATCATAATTTAGGTCTTGCATATCTCCAAGTATTTCGAGACCTCTAATGGCGCGACCTTTAGACCCAAATAACCTTACCAATGCCATGAATGTCTCGTGAACCGGTCGAAGCCCTGCAGCCAACTCTCTTCTCAACGATTCCATCTGCGCAAAACAATAATCAGTTGAATTGAAACGGCTCTCGGCGTCGTCGTAGAGAAATTATCATACCGCGGCTTCTTCGTGGCCGTTGAGGGCGTGCGACACTACCAATCCATGAAATGACCGAGGGCCAGGGCTGAGGCCCGCGGCGATCATGTCGTATATGACTTCCGACACGCCGTTTGAGTCGCGGTTCCGGGCCCGGTCCATGAGCTCCTCCATGAAACTGAACCGGAGCCCGTTCTCGACCGTGCTCTGGTCATCCTTCGGCTGCTTCTTCTTCCTGCCCCGCTTTTCCGGAACTGAAACCACCGCGCGAACCGTCACGGTTCGGGGAGAGAAGTGGTTCAATTTGAACGGGAAACTGGAGTAACGGTGAGTGTAGCTGTAAGGTAAGATGAGTGAGGACATGAATGCATATAAAGAATTTGACAGTAACGGGTTTTGGTTTGGTGGCAGTGTCGAGCCACTGAAGCAATAGCGTGGTGTGTGTACTGATGATAAGGCAGACCGCGAATTGAAAAAGTGACGCACGGACACAACAAAACCGAAACAAATGAAGTTGACGAAATCTACTACCGAATCTGACCCTTATTCTTCTCTATTCCGTTTTTCTTTTCCCACCACCATGTTTCCTTCCTGCACCTCACAGAAGCACTGAAGATATTTTATATTTAAAAAATTAGTATATTCTATGATCTAAAATATATATTTTAAATTGTATAATTTAAAATTTATATTTCTGATTACATAATTCAAAAGGTATTTAAATTCAAATAGCTTGTAATATATTTGTTCGTAATCAATTCAATAAATAACACAAAAATTTACCACAATTTTATATTGTTATGAAAAATGTGATGAATGATGTATTAGAATTCGCCATCTAAACTTAAATCATAAACAGCTTTAATTAACATTAACGTGATCTATTTCTACTAGTTTTGACATAGGAAACTTTGTGAAGAGTATTATCCACACGGATGACAAGGTCGGACACATCTACCTACTATTTGACTGGGGTGTTGCTCTCTCCACCACCACAGCCTTCTCCCTCCACCTCCCCTTTACTATTTTGCCCCTCAGTAAAATTTTATTTTTAGAATTATTGTTTTTTAATTTTACTCATTTATAACATATTTCACTGATAACCTACGTAGTTCCTTGTATGAGTAAAATATTTTTCTGCAAAGCTCAGTGATCGTGAAAAGAATTATCAAGCAATCTTCCTCTTGCTTTCGGTGCAGTACGTGGTGCAGTGCGTTTGTGGTGTAATGTGCTTGTCGTGGTTCCTCTCCAGGTACGTAGTCATAATCCTTCCAATAATCCTAAACCCTAAACCCTAAACCCTTCCAATAATCCTTCCAATAATCTTTCCAATAATCCTTTAACCCTAAAACGTAAAATGAAAACGAAGCCTAAACGGATGACATCCTTCAACGGATGTCAACATCCGTTTAAGGCAAAACGGATGTCGACATCTGTTTCGCCTTAAACGGATGTTGACATCCGTTTAAGCTTTGTTTTAATTTTATGTTTCTGTTATTATTTTATTAGATATTTTAATATTTTGATTTATTATTTTTGAATATCTTTTTAATGTATTTTAATAATGTATATTTATATTAGTTTATATTTAAATATTAAAATATTAAAATAATAAAATAATAAAAATAAAAAATTTTAACTTTAAGGATATAATTGGAATTAAAGATAATTAGGGAGGTGGAGGGAGAAGGTTGTGAAGGTGGAGGGAGCAACACCCTTTGACTGGACAACAAAAAAAAAAAGCTAACCTATTATTCATCGTATTCTCATTTAAAAAAAATTAGTGAGTTTTAATAAACTTGTGACTATTCACGAAGATCTACAAATATTTAAAAATAAATAATTTATAAATTTTAAAATAAAATTTAAATAAAATTAAAAAAACGTAAATAAATATAAGCATGATTAATATATATGGATATTTTTGTAATCTTCAATTATTTCTATATAAACATGATTAATAAATATGATTAATAAACATGATTAAGTAGTATTGTAATGATGTTAGCCATAATTATATTGATACTTGTAGTTTAAAATAATAATTAAAAAATTCCTTCAACAAAAATATTCCCAAAAACTTTGGGCATAAAACTTAATAAAGATGAGGATTATTGTTTAAGAAATATAGTTAGAAATTATTATTTTTATTTACTTTATTTGAGAATAACCAAAATTTAAATGATTATTCCAACAGCGACAAGAATACGAAAGAATAGTTAAAAAACATAAAAGTAGCCCATGAAGATGAACCTTTTCTTGGTAAGTAAAACTTTATAGATAAAAGAAGAGTACAAGAAGTACTCCAAGGCATTCAAATATATGTCTACACTTTCAGATAATGAGGGTCTACACATGAATTTAAGCAAAAGCAAATATATTTTTCCCTGTATAAGATTGAAGATAGAAATAATATGAATTGACCTCCCTTAAATACAATCACATTCCTCAAAAAGTCACAAAAAAAATATCATTTATTCTGTAGTGGAGATGTATGATTGATTAGTGATTAGTATTTGTTGGAGTCCAAGGCCAAAATGGTTGAGAGATTGAAAGGTTTCATGTAGTTGGAGGCTCCTGTCATAATCTGCTGAACGATCAACCTGTTAGCCTTTTCCGATGGATGGAATGGGTCCCAAAATGCAAGTGTGTCACGATCTGGACATAAGTTCGACGCCACCGTGCACAATCCAACACCATTAAAGGGTCCTTGACCGCAACACGCAACTTTTGAGGTAACAAATCCTGTATCCACAAATTCATCCCATAACTGTTAGAAATTGAAGTATTAGTTGAAAGTTTTATATTCTGATCATTGAAAGTGATGTTCGGATATAACGAACTGGTGATGTTCGGATATAACGAACTGGTGATGTTCTATGTACGCATAGATTACCGTATGCTTGAGGATTAGTGACGAAATCATCGTGCATGAGATGTGTGTTTGCTGCAACGAAGACATCTGAACCAAGTTCGTCATTGAGTTGCGTGATCATCTCAACAAGTTGTGGATTGTACAAGGAAGACGCACTCTGTAGCTCCTCTGAGCATTCGCCATTTCTGCCTCGCATGGCTAATTCCGCCGGAACACAACCCAGCGGTCCGGTTCCTGTCACCAAAACCCTACGTGCTCCAAGATCATACAGCCTCTGATCCAAGTCCATGCATTCCATTCCAAATGTAATACTAATTAGTTAAGCCTTGTTTTAATGCTTAATATCATTGTGCATGTGTGAATGTGCAGATAACAACACTGTATTCAGTAATTAGCAGATTATCATGGTTTTATTATTACCCGTAGAATCTTCTTGTACTCAGAGATGACATAGGTGACATAATCTGGTATAGCGAATTGGCGGGATCTAGCAGAGTTAGGCACCAAGAAGTAGTTATTCACAAAATCGTTACCTCCACAGGTGATAAGAACCAGTGCTCCATTCACTAATTTCCTTGTTTCCTCCTCTCCTATAAGGGCACTCACCCTTTGTTGGTATTGTTGGAAGTATTCTAGTTGTCTTGGCATTCTGATAATGTTTACCTGCAATGACAACAACATATATCATACATAATCAATCGCACGAACATGTAAACTAGTGATCCATGTTTTGCTATATATATATACACATACAAATTGGATTCCAGTGTCAACGAGGACTCCAATGCCGGCAGAAGCAAAGTTGGCACCAACCAGCAATTTTTCCCCGTCAAGCTCAGGGCTTAAATATGGCAAGGTGGGCTCGGACCCAAGTGCTTCACCTGCAGAATTTAATCACAGGTCAACTTGCTGTACAGATGAAGTTTAACAGTGGTGAAATGAAAATTAGAGAGTTTATGAAGCGAACTGATAAAATCAGGTATGTTGAGGCCATTGGAGAAACGTCCAGTGGGTGTGTGAGTTGGATAATCAATGCCATAAGGTGGAGCATCTGCTCTAGCCGTGGTGACTAGGTAGTTGTTGTTGCCATTATCAACAAGTGAATCTCCAAACACAAAGAAGGCTCGTGCTGCCTCTGCCCCCTTCAAATTGAAACTGCTGAATGCTAGTGCCGTCACTAGACTCCAAACAACGTAAGACCCGAAAATGGGAAAGCTAGCCATGATCTGGAATTGGAGATGAAACAGGGTTAACTATGATTGATGGCTAGGCTACTCTGTTACACACACACACACACATATATATATATATATTTAGTACCTAGCTACTCTCATTAGTTATCTCACATAGCTTAGTGGACAGAGTCTCAGTAAGAAGTAGATGATGTTAGGTTAATTTTAAATGAGTGTAAATATTTGTACCTGCATATATGATATCTCCAAAGTTTTCGGTATTAGATACATGTTCTTTATTTCTTTACCTTTTTCAACCGCCGCAAATTATAGCTTCAAACTAAAATAGGCCCTTCTTATGGAAATTGTATCAGGAGAATAGTGAAAGAGAAATCAATCGCATTAAAGTTTTTTGACTTGTAACGGTTAACCATAGCCGTTAAGACTTTTTCAATGCATGACTGATAAGATTAATGTTTGATAATGTATATTTTTATTAAATTATCCTAATTTTCTGAATTTGAAATCGTTATTTTTTCTCATTTTAAGATTTATTGTCCTTTGAAATATTAAATATTTTATTACATGAGAGTATAATATTGCAATATATGATATAATATATATTGCAATTTAGACATATGATATAAGAAGGAAATTAGGTGGTATGGCAGTTCCATTTGTTAACACGATATGATTGCAAAATAGAGAAGAATTACAAATGTTTTAACTTATAATAACATGTTGGAAAAATGTTTTAATATTTGCATTCTGTAAAGCAAGAAGACTATAAAACACAATGGTTTTACTATGATATTTTCAATATTGTTTGAAAGTACGAAAAGAAATAAGATCAAACGATTTTTTAGAGCAAAATCTTGATTAACTTGTGTGGCGTAGTTCATACTGTGCCTAGACAAAAAGACTTCGTATCCTTGTCTTTTAAAATTATCTTACCAAGACTGTAGAGACAATGTGTCTTATCTTAGCACTTTCTTGCTTGAAAAAAAAAAACTGTATGTTCAAAGAATATTTGGTTAATTATTTAGAAAAACTAGGAAAAAAAATACACACATTTAAACATAAAACACACAGGTTAAAGAATATATATATATATATATATATATATAAACATTGTTTTTGTTGGTGAAAAGTATCGGGACCAACAATTGAACATAATTTGAGGGTAGGAAAAACTAATATAAATACTTTGCAATTCTTTTCTCTCTCTAACGATTGATAGTGTTTAGAGTGGTTTCAACATTACATAAAAACCTTATGTTTGTAAATTTTAAAAGGAATTTCTTACTACATCTTTTGAAACATTGCCAAAGATGAAATATTTTTTGAAAGAAACTATATTTCTAAAAACTTATTATGGCACAATTCAAAAGTAAAAACATGTTTTCTTGTATTTTCTTACCTACGAGAACGTAGGCATGGACTTTTAAAGTGATTTCATTGTCAAAACTTATTGTGTAATTTTAGAAGGTACTATAATCTTAAACATTACCTTATACGTGAATAACTAAAAACAATATCATTTGTG